GATGACCATGGAGAGAAAAGGTGAATGAAGTGGATGAAAGCATGCCGCAGAGGATGGGTGGGTTGGCTGCAGAGGATGGGTGGGAAGAAGGATGACTTCTTCCTAAGAAAATCCCATCTGCTGTACCTTTCCCATATGACTCAGGAGAAGGAGATCCACCTCCAGATCCAGGAGTACCTCCCAACCAGGAAAGACCTCTCTTAGGAGGGGACACGTGAGCAAAGGCTCAGCGAAGGTAAGGGTGTGGGCGATGCTGAGATTTTGGAGAAGAGCATTCCGGGTAGAAGGAAGAGCCACTATGAATGCTTGTATGGCAGGAGTCCAGATGGTTAGTTCGCAGATGAGCAAGGTGGGTAGTGGGGCTGGAGCAGAGTGAGGAATGGGGTGAAGTAGGGGAGATCAGGAAGTCTCCTTTTGGGACCACAATGAGGCTTACTCCACTGTGAGGACAGCAGCAGTTTCTCTGAGTGACACTAGTCACTGCTGTGTTTTGAGCAGAAGAAAGCTGTGACCTGACATGTATTTTAAGAATAGCACTAAGCTCTTAGCAGTTGTGTTGAGAAGAGAAGCAAGGTCAAGGGTGGAGGCAGGCAGAGCAGCTAGAAGGCTCCTGCAGCTTTCAAGGCAAGAGAGGAGGGGGCACGGCACGGCAGTGAAGGTGAGAAGGGCCAGGTTATGGAGATATTTGGAACATAGGACTAACAGGAGTTCTTGATGGATTATTGGCCATGGGGTATACATTTAAAAGAGGGATGAAGGATAACTCATTGGCTTTTGTCTTGAGCAACCAGAAGCATAGGAGTGTCTCTATGTAACATGAGAAAAGCTACCAATACAGCCATCTATTGGAAGGGAATGATTGGCAGTTCAATTTTAGTATGTTAAGATGCCCATCATATATTCAAGTGGAGATGATGACTAGATAGTTGGATGGTCATGTGTGAAGCTCAAGAGAGAGAGATGTGGGCCGGGCACCGTGGCTTTTGCCTATAATCCCAGCACTTTGGGAGGCCAAGGTGGGCAGATCACTTGTCAGGAGTTCGAGAACAGCCTGGCCAACATGGCGAAACCCCGTCTCCACTAAAAATACAAAAATTAGCCAGGCATGGTGGTGGGCACCTGTTATCCCAGCTACTCAGGAGGCTGAGACATGAGAATCCCTTGAACCCAGGAGATGAAGATTGCAGTGAGCCAAGATCAAGCCACTGTACTCCAGCCTGGATAAGAGAGCAAGACTCCAAAAAAAAAAAGAGAGAGAGAGAAATGTCAATTGAAGATAAAAATTGGGGAATCCCTGGCATGTAGAAGGTTTTAAAGCCTGTCACCCAGGTTGTCGTGCAATGGGGCATTCCCAGATTATGGCAGCCTCTAACGCCTGGGCCCAAGCAATCCTCCCACCGTGGCCTTCCCAGTGTCGGGGTTATGGGCATGAACCATGGCACCAGCCTTGAAGATATCAAAGCCTTGAGGCTGCATAAAATGACCAAGGGAGTGAGTATGGATGTGGAAGAGAGACAAGTACAGGGCCCCAGGGCAACTCAACTTTAAGAGAGCCATGAGAGGCCAGGCACACAGTGGCTCACGCCTGTAATCCCAGCACTTTGGGAGGCCAAGGATGGTGGATCGCCTGAGGTCAGGAGTTCAAGACCAGCCTGGCCAACATGGTGGACCATTGTCTCTACTAAAAACAGAAAACTTAACCAGGCATGGTGGCACATGCCTGTAATCCTAGCTACTAGGAAGGCTGAGGCAGGAGAATTGCTTGAACCTGGGAGGTAGAGGTTGCAGTGAGCTGAGATCATGCCATTGCACTTCAGCCTGGGCAACAAAAGCCAAACTCTGTCCTATAAATAGAGAAAGAGAGAGAGAGAGAGAGAGAGAGAGAGAGAGAGAGAGAGAGAGAGAGCGCACCAGGAGAAGAACTGAAAGTAGCAAAGAAGAGACGAGAAAAAATAAATCCACCTCTCTTCCTTTTCCTCACATGGCTTCCAAGACATCATCATCTCCTGTTTTCCTCTACTTCACTGTCCACTCCTTAGTCTTCTTTGCTGTGATGTGAGGTGAAATAACTGCCCAAGATTTTGCATCATGGAGATCATCATGATCCGGAGAAAAGTAGTTTTGGTCAAGTGACGGAAATGATCATCTGATTGGCATGAGACCAAGAGAGAACAGGAGGGCCAGGCGCAGTGGCTCACACCTGTAATCCCAGCACTTTGGGAGGGCAAGGCAGGCAGATCACCTGAGGTCAGGAGTTCGAGACCAGCCTGGCCAACATGGTGAAACCCCATCTCTACCAAAAATACAAAAATTAGCCAAGCAGGGTGGCTCATGCCTGTAGTCCCAGCTACTCAGGAGACTGAGGTAAGAGAATCGCTTGAACGCAGGAGGCAGGGGTTGCAGTGAGCCAAGATCCCACCATTGCACTCCAGCCTGAGCAATAGAGTGAGACTGTCTCAAAAGTAAATGAATAGGCTGGGTGTGGTGGCTCATGCCTATAATCTCAGCATTTTGGGAGGCAGAAGTGGGTCGGGAGATCATGACCATCCTGGCTAACAGGGTAAAACCCCATCTCTACTAAAAATACCAAAAAAAAAAAAAAAAAAATTAGCCGGGCATGATGGCATGTGCCTGGACTCCCAGCTACTTGGGAGGCTGGGGCAGGAGGATCGCGTGAACCCAGGAGGCAGAGGTTGTGGTGAGCTGAGATCATGCCACTGCACTCCAGCCTGGGCAACAGAACCAGACTCTGCCTCAAAAAATAATAATAAATAAATAAATAAAAATAGAGAACAGGAGGCATGCACACAGAGGTAACTTTGAGATGTCTGCATACAAGGAAGATGGCAAACAGAGTAATAGTGCAGAAGGATATGAGATCAAGGAGGCACACATGCACAAGTATACATATAAAGACAGGAGGGAGGACACCACATTTTTTGTGCTGAAGTGAATGAATTGGAATAGAGCAACAACTGATGAGCAGGAGATGGGGGGTAATTTTAGGAACAGTCATTAAATAGCCTAGAGGAGAAGGGAAGCTGGTGCCACGTGGAAGCATTTGCCTTAGACGGGAGCAGAGGCAGTGTATCCAGGTGACAAGAGAAAGGGCAGTGTCTGGGTGGAAAGGCAGGTAGGATGGAAGATATGATGGTGGAAAGAGGAGGTAGTTCTTGTCAAAACGCTTTTATTTTCTCAGTAAAACAAGCAGCAAGGGTTCTCAGCTCAGAGTGAGGAAGGGAGGGTGTTGGAAGTTTGAAGAAAGAAGGTGCAATATAGTCATTTCAGAGTGTGGGAAAGTAAACTGACAAGGGAAATACACACGGACAGTATTGAGAGCCCACTCGAGATGTATGATTATGAATTTCGAGTGACAACAGCCCTGTCATTTTTGTCCAGTGTCTTAAGTTGGACAGAATCAAGAGTTTGGCCAGATAGTCCCAGGAAATGAAAGAGTGGGGGTGGTGCATGCGAAGGAATGGTATAGCGACAGACCATGAAATCTAAGCTGGGTAGGAGAGATGTAAGAATCGAAGGACAATGACAGTCATTGGAAGTCAAAATAGGGTCATTAATTGTTCAAATGTGGTTATTTGAGCAAATAAGCTAGGAGAGGAAGAGGTGTTGGTCAGGAAGTAGGGTGATGGTCAGAGGTGGTGCTGTTATTTGGTAATGAAAAGATCAAGGATACCCTCGTGACAGTGGGATGGAGCAAAAAAATGATTGCAGTTCAGGTACTAGGGTTTCAGATAGGTCCTTAATCTACTGGGATGCTAAATTCACAAAAAAATGTTAATAAGAGTTGAGGTGGAGGTGGGGGACTGTGAATCAAGTGCTAGAATCTTCGGGGAATGAGGGGGAGTGCAGGAGAGCCTGCAGATGACAGCCACCAAGCGGAGGTGGTATAGTCTGATGGCAGGTACTTCAAAGCAGCTGGGGTGGAGGGGGAAGCAAGAAATAGTCTAACTTGGGGAATAACTCTCCTGCCAAGGGTTTGTTCTGAATTCCACTCTCTAGTATCTCACCAAGCTTCCTTCCCTCTTTTGGCAGCTGAGAGGCCATCCAGGGTAAGGATTTATTCAGGGTCTCGGGGTCAGAAGGAAACCAGCAGTCGGGACTTTTATTCCCTCTTCTCTGCTACCAAAATACCAAGGCAGTGTTTTGGATATTTATTTAAAAGAACATTTTAAATGTCCTTGTTTGTTTCTGCCTCTGTGCAATATTGTGCTGGGAAGGACGGGGAGCTGGTAACCATGGCAGTGGAGCAGGGGGTGGTGGTGAAGAGGTGGTTTTTAAATGGGGTGAACTTCAGGCAGGCGGCACCCAGAGCTGGAACCCCCACAGCCTCCTTGGAGTCCTTTGTTCATTCAGCTTACTTAGGGAGAGAGAGGCTGCATTCTTGCCGCTGGGAAGCAAGCTTTGAAAGGAAAGGTTTTGCCAGACTCCATAAGGAGAGGGTGTGTCCCTCGGAGCAGGTTTTGGGGCTCTGCCTGAAAGCCTTTGTGGGCAGGGAACTTTGGGCACCCTGTCATGAACAGGACAGTCTGTGATGGCAAAGAAGCCAGCTCTGCAGCATCCTGGATGCAGACTTCTTACACACTGTCAGCTGTCTCACCACTTCTCCCTGGACAGGTGGCCACTCGTGGGGGTGGCCCAGAATCCTGGCCAAAAAAGGCAGCCAGGCAGGGCCCCCACAGGAAGGTAGCTGGCAGGGGAGCCAGCAGAAGAGGAAAGGGGAGGGAAGCAGTCACCTCTTCCACGTTCCTGGATAGGGAGCCCCAAGAGCCTTTTCAGGACAAAGAAGTGCCCCAAACAAGCGGACACAGAGCAAGACAGGACAGGGCAGGACAGGACAGGGCAGGACAGGACAGGGCAAAGCTTGGGTCCAGGGAAGTCCCATGACTGCAGTGTTCAGCCGCAGGTTTCCCAGCAGCTCTGGGCGGGAAGCAGCGCTGGGAGATGGGGGCGGGGAGAAGGGAGGAGAAAGAGGAGGAGGGAAGTAAACAGGAGACCACAGAGAGAGCCAGTTCCCTGCGTTCAGAGAACACTAGCCGCCTCCGGTCCCCGGTGGGTGGCTGTATGTGTGGAAATGAAACTGGGAGGAGGAGGGAGAGAGGGAAGAGCAGGCACGCACTTCGCGGCTGTCATCCACCTGGCCTCTCTCGACCCGCCAGCCCACTCCCCACCGGGGTACGGGGTTGGGGGAGGTGGGAGGGAAACGGTTCTGCAGACGCCCACCCCTTAGTACCAGTAGCTGGTTCAGCTGTCGGTGAATCAGACACTGTCTCAGCAGCTTGTCACCTGCGCTCGGGAGGGGAACAGAGGGCAACCCTGGAACGTGGCAGGGAGAGGTTGGGGAAGGGCAGGATCCAGCACTGGGCCTGGGCGTCTGGGTGACGCCAGCGGCTGGGAAAAAGGGTGTCCACCTCCCTACACCCACACACATCTCGACCCAGTACCTGGACGCCGAGTAGACGGGGTGGAACAAGAGCTTGGGGGCCCAACGGAAGGGGGACTTGGAAGCACGGGAGGGGAGAAGAACAGGGTGGGGGTGTGCTGCGGCGGGAAGCGCTGGGTGCGGGGCAGGCGCGCGCGCGCGGAACAAGCCGCTGCCCGGTGCTTGCCCGCGCGGGGTTATGCGAGGTAACCGCGCGGCGAGGAGGAGGGAGGCGGCGGGGGCCGCGGGCCGGGGTGTCTGGCACTCGTTGGACAAAGAGATGATGAAACGTGAGCGCTATATTTACCAAGGGGGTGGAGACGGGCCGGGGGGGCGGGGGTGGGCTGGGAGTAAAAAGGACAAACTGTTCCACAACAACCACAGGAAACACAGCCCATCTGACTCACCGGGAGGGCTGCACCGACCCCCTGGCAGGCTTAGCCTGGAGACTGACGCGGGGCGCCGGTTCTCCCGGGACCAGACCGAACCTGGGCACTACGGCTGGGGCTGGGTTGATTTATATATAAATAAAGGCACATTCGATCCAAGAGTGCGTGTGGTTCTTGCGGGGTAGGGGAGAGCGCGGAAATGGGAGGAATGTTTCCTAACCCCTTGGCTGAGCCTTCGGGGGCGAGATCTGCCTGCAAACTCTGAGAGCACAATTCCTGCAAAGTCATCTCCTCCGGCACAGCCCGGCCGGCCTGCCCGCCCCGCCCCGCCCGGGGACAGCAGCACCCGCCTCCCCCACTAGCTCCCCACCCCCGTAGCCCTCGGAGTTGGGGTGCGGTGCCGGCTATGTTTAGAAGCTGATGTCATCTCGACACCCTACTCTGCAGTGTTCCCAGGAGGACCGCAGGGCAGGTTTTCCTCTTCCTCGCGGGCGTGGGGGATGGAAGGTGGCCTGCCCTCTCCCCAACACACGCACCCCACATCCATCTACCCGGGAGATTAAAAGAAAAAAAAAAAAAAGCAACACCGCCAGAGTTATGAAACAGGGTGGCGGGGGCGGTACGTGCACGCGGAGAGCTCAAAGCATGGGCCCGGGCCGCGCTGGGCTCCCCCCGGTCTCCGCCCACTTCTACCCCCGCGCACCCGGGTGCAGGGGCTAATTTCAAGGTTAGCTCACGTGGGCGTGGGCGCCCGGAGCTCCTTGCACGAGTTTGGGGCGGGTTCCTAGTCCCCCAATCTAGGGCAGTTTGTTCAACTGCAGTAAAGGGAGCTTGATGTTCCAGCAGGGAAGGGATTTCTGAGAACTGGGACTGTCCTCAGATGAACTCGCCTCCTCAGGCTGCTGCGGCGGCGGCCGCCTGCGGAAGACTTTTTAAAAGGGCGATGCCAGGCCGGGGCGCGCGGCCCGCGAGTGGCTGAGTCTCCTGCCAGTCGGCGGCCGGAGCCGAGCGCCCACCCCCGAGCGCTGGTGATTCACCGAGTGCCGCGCTGGGCCGGTCGGAGCGCGGGGGGCTGCGAGCTAAACTTATCCTCCTGCATATGCATGAACTGGCGGCCTTTCTGCGCTGCAGAGGAGAGGGCTGGAATTTTGCGGAAGGCTGCTAAGTGGGGCGGGAGCAAAGTAGGGCGGCGTGCAAGTTTTCCCGCTTGTCTGAGCTCCCTTCCCCCTCTGGCCCCTGGGTGTTAACTTCATTATGGCCACGGGCGTTCCACCTGACCACGCTTTACCTGATTGTATTTCAAAATCCAGGAACACCGCCATTGTTGGAAGCTTTATCCCTTTAGCCCCGCCTCTCCCCTCCTCAGGCTCGCCTCCTTCCCTAATTCCTCTGCTTTCACCAAAATGAACACTGGTTTTCTCCACGTTTGTCCCGTGTGCCTAGGCAGGGGTCGCTGAAGCCGGAGGGCCTGGGGCCTGAAAGGGAGAGGTCTGGATCCAGCCCAGAATGAGGTCCAACACGTGATCCTCTACCCCCAGTGGGCCATCTGTTCTCCTTCCTTCCCGCCTGGAGGCTGGCAGTTCTGCCCGGCACGGTCCACGCCTCCCAGCAGGAAACAGTGAGAAAAGCCAGAATTGGCAGAACCCGGTACCTACAGAATATGATTTTGACCTAAACTTCTCGGCTTTGAGCAGGGGTGACACCCGGCAATCTGTATTTTAAATCAAGCGCCAGGTGATTAGCTCCACCCTGCAAGGTGGGGAAACCCTGCCTTGGGGCGCAGTTTGAATAAAAGTCTCCAGAGGAGGAGCCTGGGAATCTGTGCTGCTTAAACCAGGAAATACCTTACTCCCGGCTAGGGTGAAACGTTTACCTCGGGCCGGGCACGGTGGCTCTCGCCTGTAATCCCAACACTTTAGGAGGCCGAGGCGGGCGGATCACCTGAGGATAGGAGTTCGAGACCAGCCTGGCCAATATGGCGAAACCTCTTCTCTACTAAAAATACAAAAGTTAGCTGGGCATGCTGGCCCACGCCTGTAATCCCAGTTACTGGGGGGGATGGGAAAGGAGAATCGTTTGAACCCGGAAGGCAGGGGTTGTTGCAGTGAGCCGGGATTGCATCATTGCACGCCAGCCTGGGAGACAGAACGAGACTGTCTCAAAAATAAATAAATAACAATATAATAAAATTTACCTCCGAAAAAGAATAGATTATTTTATTTTTTTACTTTATTTATTTATTTAGAGACAGGGTTTCACCATGTTTGCCAGGATGGTCTTGATCTCTTGGCCTCGTGATCTGCCTGCCTCGGCCTCTCAGAGTGCTGGGATTACAGGTGTGAGCCACGGCGCCCAGCCAAGAATAGATTATTTGAACTCCCATTCCACTTTCTACAAACCAGCTTAAAGAAAGAAAAAATCAAGACCATAAAATTAAGGAAGAAGGGATTTTGAACACATTTATATTTGTGTCTGCTATCCATTAAATGTTGATTTAAGGTTTTCTGACCTTCACTGCCATAAAGAGCAGTATTTGTAGATGTGCGGCAGATAAGATGGTATTTAAAGAACCCAAATCTTGCCCCAGTTTTTTTCTCTAGGATTTTTTTTAAATCCCTTGAGTATTTGGAGTTTGGGAGAAACTATTGGAGATATATTAACCTAATCCCATCAATTTACAGATAAAGAAATAGCTCCCAGAGGTTGCCTGAGGTTACAGAGTTTATCTCAGACCCAGAGGTCAGTTCCTCACACTGGCCTACAATGCTGAAAGGAACAGCTGACTGTAGGCACCACTTCTTACTAGAGCTAATAATAATACTGTAATTATTTCAGGATGCACAGAAAACAAGGCTTATATGTTCTGGCTACAAGCCCCTAAGCCATTGTTTTCAGAACTTGGATAATAAAGCAAATTCTTAGGCAGAATTTACAGATGAAAGCATAAACTAGACACACAGTTACAGTCTAAATTTTCATGCTCCTCTGGTGGGTTTGTGTGGATTTGAAAATGTGTATTTACAAAGACTAACGGGGAAAACAGACCTCTTACATGTATGTGGCATAATATATAGTGATAAATTATTTTAATTAGGAATGATTCATATTAACTTGGGATCATTTATTTTGCCAACATTTAATTGGGACAACCACATGCTGGCAAAACAGCCTAAGCCGGTTTTAATCTTAAAATTACTATAATACACATTCCAACACCCCAAAGAAACTTCACTGTTGAAAATACAAGAAAAAAATCTTGACATAGAAATTATTATTTGCGGATATATGTTATTTTATATATATGTGTGTGTTTTTAACATATAAGCTTCATGGAGGACAGAGTCTCTTTTCATATCTGTATTCCCCATGCCTAGCTCATTGCCAGGAACATAAATATCTGGAGAATGAATGAGTGGAAATGGAGGAAAAAAGAAAACGCATTCTACAGTTCTAGAATTGCTGAGTTTAAAAAGATATTCTAAATCAAGTTAAGCAGCAGTTATGTTTGTAGATGTGTGAGAAAGTCACGTGGATGAAATCTCAGTTTTCTTTTATTACTTTCTTTTATAAGTCTGAAATGAGTGAGTTTGGAGAATTCAGTGTTTACGTCCAGTTCAAACAAAGTGAAATTAAAGAGAATTAAAGAAAAGCAAGGAGTAAGGAAGGGAAAAGTTTATATTTTTAAAAAATCTAAAGTGGGCCAGGCGAGGTGGCTCAAGCCTGTAATCCCAGCACTTTGGGAGGCCGAGGCGGGTGGATCACGAGGTCAAGAGATCCAGACCATCCTGGTCAACACGGTGAAACCCCATCTCTACTAAAAATACAAAAAATTAGCTGGGCATGGTGGCGCGTGCCTGTAATCCCAGCTACTCAGGAGGCTGAGGCAGGAGAATTGCCTGAACCCAGGAGGCGGAGGTTGCGGTGAGCCGAGATCGCGCCATTGCACTCCAGCCTGGGTAACAAGAGCGAAACTCCGTCCCAAAAAAAAAAAAAAACAAACAGAAAAAAAAAATCTAAAGTGATTGATTTTTTCAAATTCCTGGATTATATAATCTTCAAGGAAAGACACAGACTTCCTCAGTTCTGGAATAATGATGATGTTAGTCCTAGGGCTATCTATAGATGGCCAGGCCTGAGAAGTCTGTTTCACCAGTGCAATCCCAGTTAAAACACAAGTCTGAGGGGTTGTACAGCCCATGATCATAGGGATCCTGGAGTGATCCCGCTGGTGTGTGTGCTAGGCCTTTAGGAGGCATGCAAAGGTGCAATTTCTAAGTGATCATGTATCCTCAGGGAAAAAAATTGTCCCAGAAAAACCATGAAGTAGGCAAACTCCCCTGGGTTTCAATGAATTCTTTTCTAAAATTAAGAGATTAAGTTCTAAAAATGCAAGAACTCCAAGATGGCTTGGAGTTTTTATACACTATATACCTACCTTCCAGGGTTGTTGTAAGGGTGCATGCAGGGTGCTTGGTACAGGGCCTGACACAGAGTAAGCCCTCCATGAAAGGGGTCCGGGATAATGACGCTGATGGTGATGATATTCTTGGTTGCCCAGTATCCCCTACCTACAGCTTTCTTCCACGGGCAGTCACCTACTGCAATATCTTCCCTGTACCACTTTAATTTTTGTTGTTTTCTTTATATTTTAAAGGTGTGTATTTTATTGAACTGGTCTCAAGTCAGGTTTGTTTTTAATTAAAATTTATTAGACTCTTATTTACCTGAGCCACCCTTAGTTAGGATTTTTTTTTTTTTTTAAGAGGGCCTTGCTGTGTTGCCCAGGCTGGAGTGCAGTGGTGTGATCAGGGCTCACTGCAGCCTTGACCTCCTAGGCTGAAGCAGTCTTGTTTTTTTTTTTTTTTTTTTTTTTGTTTTTGTTTTTGTTTTTTTGAGACGGAGTATCACTCTTGTTACTACCCAGGCTGGAGTGCAATGGCGCGATCTCGGCTCACCGCAACCTCCGCCTCCTAGGTTCAGGCAATTCTCCTGCCTCAGCCTCCTGAGTAGCTGGGATTACAGGCACGCGCCACCATGCCCAGCTGATTTTTTGTAGTTTTAGTAGAGACGGGGTTTCACCATGTTGACCAGGATGGTCTCGATCTCTTGACCTCGTGATCCACCCGCCTCGGCCTCCCAAAGTGCTGGGATTACAGGCGTGAGCCACCGCGCCCGGCTTGAAGCAGTCTTTTCTGCCTCACCCTCCTGAGTAGCTGGGACTACAGGTGTGAGCCATCATGCCTGGTTAATTTTTTTTTTTTTAATTTTCTTTTTTTGATGTACCACTTTAAAAATAAAGTAAAAGGAAACTACTCTAGACCTTAAATTAGTAGTGTTAATTTGAGACCCTTCCCTTGGAGACTAGAACCTGGTGTAACTTTCTCTTAACAAAGGTTAACAGCCAGTGGGAGTCAGGGTTGGAACTCACCGAATCCCTATCACATACAATCAGGTACCTCTCACAGTTCACGAAAGTGAATTATTTTTAATCAGTTGTACTGACAGTATGCCTCTTGCAAAAAGACACTAGCCCTAGATTCTTTTCTCAGCTATCAAGAGGGAAAACAACTGCATCATTAA